GGTAGAGTATTAAGTGCTCTTATGGCACTTGGCTATGTAAATGGCCAAACATATTTTCGCTGCTTACGACATAAATCTTTGGAATATATTTCCCTTTGCGTTCAGGCAGCTCAGCCTGAAACAAAGCTTTTCCGTAGGGGGTCACCCTTCATACTTTCCCTGCTGCAGTGAAGCATGAGGTATTTGGCCTTCTGGAGGAGACTGAATGAACACTGCTCAGTTGTCCTCTGAACAATCTTTGGTTGTTTTGCCGCTATAAAATTTTGTAGAAAGAAACAACCAACACTTAGGCAATGCACGTTTTTGACTCTAAATTTTAATCAAAATGGAATTGATACGCTACCATAGAAAATGATTCATGCCAGTCACTAAACAGCTGTGGTCAAAGAAACACTTGTCTCTTTCTCAGCCATTTATTCAGGCCACGGTCCCAGTTCATTTGAAGACCTGTGGTGCTTGAATGTACAGAACATCGCTTTGTAGCCTCAACAGCAATAGGAATTACATCTTTTACTGATCATCACAGTCAATAAGCAGTCATCGGTGGATAAAGGTGAATTACGGTCTTCTGAGGCACTCGCATCAGAAACCATAGCCGTGCCTCTCGCCCATTCACGTATGACCACACCAGAAAACTACTTTCCGCTGCTGTTCGCAAGATAACGACTTGCTGTCCTTTTTCGACTGGTTGCACCGAAGCAATGTGGGAAAAATTTTCTGATTCCCTGTTAAGGGAATTAAATTTTGATATACTCGTCTTATGATGTTTATACGATAACATATCATGACTGCCAGCTTCTGTAACTTAGTTCATGGTGAGCGTGAGGTGGCTCCAGCGGACAAATTGGTGGGAGATTCAACTCACACTGCAGATACTGGAATACCATCGAGCCGTGTCCTGCTTAAGCAGTCCCTTAGGCAACTAGGAGTAATGGGACGGTATGATGCACCGTAAAATCTGGTCTGGGAGGTTCACTTGTTATTTGATATTCTCGGGTGTACGAACAATTTGATTTAATGTGATTTTTAAGGCATTGGCCGTTTTGTAAGGGAATTAGTCAACCTTTAGCGGTATTCCAGCCCATCAACGCCACTGTTCGAAGTCATCGTCTTTGCAGACTCGAACAACATGCCTGCTCGTCTCACAACGAGAATGATTTTCAACCTGACCGCGCTTTATCAGCATGATTTTATTCATATGATTCTGTGAGTTGCCCAAAATTTGAATCTGAAAGGAAACTCCAACGTCATCTCCGCAACTTGGCGAGTAACGGTTATGAGGATCACTGCCATATTTCTCGTAAAACTTTATAAAAGGAGGCTCAATGGTCGCTTGAGTCACGAAGTCAATTAAACGTCTTTTGTTTCCTTCTGTATAGGTGTCATTCAGCAGTTTCTTCACTCTAACCTTAAATTAAACACCCGTCTGGCATGATCTGTAAATGCGAGTATTTGAGCAATGCATTCCGTCTGCTGGTTTGCTGTTTCCGGCCAGAGGCTACTTTCGTGGCCTTAATTATGCACCCTACGCGGTCTCATCAACCGTAGCTGCTTACACGCGGCCAGCACAGAGGTTGGTTGCTTATTAATGATTTAATTGCTTCTTTGTCAGCAACGCCTTCCAGTTAAATGCGTTCCACGTTAGCCATCATTCGATGAACGCGTACTTGTAAACAATTTCTAAAAGTACGAGCTCACCTGGCTTGAAGGAAGCACATGAAGCCAGTTGCTCAGATCTCTGCTCTCGCAATATGGTTGACTCGACCTCAGTGGTACGAACAGTCAGACGAGCTCGTTCCCAAGAGAAGAGAGTGACATGCTCTTGTCTGTCTGTGCAGATTCCGCACGTGAGGCGTTTTGGGAATGAACGCAGAAGCTAGGAGGCATGACAGGATTGTGCTGCCTTCCCGGCTGTTCTAAAATTTATTGGTAGAGGATAACAAGAAGTGAAGTGCGAACTTCCAAGACCAGTAGTTAATTGACAATTTTAATCGTCTACACAACTTATGGGTTGTCAGAGAATGATTAACAACAATTCATCGTTGCACAAAAGGTACTACAAAAGCGCTTTCAGAAAAATAACACCACCGAAAAGTAGACGTTGTAGTAAACAAAGGGTAAACAGAGCGCAATCTGCACTCAGCATTGCTTGATTCGATAAAAGAGCTGATCATCGATCGATTAATCACTGTTATCATATCAACGACGTCGAAAGCAGCTTTTCGAACTGCTTCTGCACAAGTCTCTGTCAAGCATATGACTGGAATGTTGACGAAGCGGAATGTGTGAACAACGGGTGACTCACACAAACGTACAGACAAGGTGAAAGCTGCGACGCGACCTCATATAACAGTGAGTGACATGAGGACAGAAATGCGAGAGGGACGGCTGACGATGTACCTTGTACGTTAGTAAATAATACCGTAACACTCGACAGTGAAGTTGAGCTGCTGTGGGTTGAGCCGACAGCCGGTTGGCTAACGAACAAACACAGGTAGTCTCTGTAGCCACTGGCATGATGGCAGGTTAACTACGATGAGGCGGAGGCGGCCAACGAGTGACATCGGTTGATATGCTTGGTGAGCAAGGAAGCACTGGAGAACAGTTCGGCACAGAAATTGCATCGTAGCCGTCCATGTGCTTCCAGCAGATGCTTCTGCTGACTTTCGGCGTTCAGGAACCACAGATCGCATCCCACTTCCTGGCACTGTATCTCCTGATCCGTGGTTGCCTGTGGGGCAAAACTCGTGTGCCGGATGGCGTGCGACCGCAGCAACCGGTGGCACTGGAACTTCTTACCGCAGAACTCGCAAGAGTAGATTGAGAACTCAATGTTATCGAACAAGACGGAGTTGGCGGCGGCTGCGGCGGCGGCGGCGGCGGCGACTGAGGGAGGAGCAGCCATCATCGTCCTGGTGCTGAGATCAAGAGGGTTATCCTGCGGAAAGCCATTTATACAGGCGACGGGTGCCAAAACTTTTGGGGGCAGTGGATACGATCCCACTGTTGTAACGGCAACGACCTTCTTAAGATCTGGCTGTTTCTCACGAGGCCGATGCCAGCGCCGATGCGACGCAAGGTTCGCCGGACAGCTGAACACTTTATCACATTCAGGACAGCGGTACTCCTCATGGGCAATCCGCGGACAGCGGTGTCTGGCCAGTTTGAACGCGTCTTCGTAACGCACTCTGCATAAACGACAGATGTAGTCTCCGAGAAGGTTCGGGATGGAGGCCAGCTCAGCTCTGGCCTTTTCGCTCGCCTCCACCCACATTGCGCTATCATCCAGATCTTCGGAATCTTGGACTTTGTCTGCATCGCCAGGGGGCATGTCCTTCAGGTCTCGTATGTACATGCCAGACACAGGGGACGAATTTTCGTCGTCGTCGAACTGGATTCGTCTGATGGCGCGGATTTTTTTCGGGGTATCGGCAGATAGCTGTTTCCTACCGTCACAGCCGTTCGTTGACGCAGAACCACCTCCTGCTCCGTTTACCCTCTTCCTCGGACTTGGCGTCGATTGGGCTTTGACCGTCGACTGCAGAGGCGAGGTGAGAGAGATGGAGGCGAGTTTCCTCTCATTGATCATGTTCGAGTCCATGAATCCACTGCAATCGTCCTTGGCGTTGAGAGCTGAGGCGGTCGACGACTGCAACTGTTGCCTGAGTTGCTCAAGACTAGGGACGGTCAGTAGACTCTGGTACAGGTGCGGATAGATGAATGGCAAGGCCGAAGCGGAAGCGGCGGGCTCGTAGTTAGCCTGAGTCAACGATGCCAACGTGGCCGCGTACTGCAAAGGATTGGTCAACAGTGTCGCCGGGTTTTGGTAGTCGTACAGAGCGGCCGCCATGCTTTTGACCAACTTTGGGACCTTGGCTTTTTCAGAGGACAATCCCACATATGCCGGGGAGAAGCCATTGTCCCCGTCAGAACTCAGGTCCGATCGTTCTTCGCAGTCCACCAGCAGGCTACTGT